ATCTTTTTCAAAAATTTTGAGCAATGATTAAATCCATAGGTGGTGGATACTTTGTTTATAGTATTCACCATCCCTCCTATTGAGACATGGTAAGGCCCATGGCTCAATATTGCAGCCCATTTGAACAATGATTTTGGTAAAATTGGTTTACCTTCAGGTGATACATATATTTCATTGACTTGTTGTGCTCCAGTGGCGCTTTGGCCCAGAGGCAATGTCTCTGTCATTGGTGTGGAACCCCAGGATTCACCTCCTGGGCAAGTTCGAATCCCGGTTAGGGCGGTTGGTACCTTCCAGTGGACTCACCACCCGCAGGAAGGTTTGGTACGGTGCAATGTGATTTGGGTGGCGACTGCTGCCCCCGCGACCCGGTAACGGATAAGCGGATGAAAATGGATGGATGGATGGATGGATGTTGTGCTCCATTGTTTCCATAACATGTTTTTTTCTTTTTCTGGTGCATTATATTGCATATCTTTTAACACTTCTTGATCTATGGTTTTGTCTTCACAAAGTAAATTTGATGTACTTGGTTCAGATGTCAATTTCATCTTCAAATTGATTTCCTTTTGAAATGTCAGCCATTCCATTTGTATGTGCTATACATTTACATGATGTAACCATGCCGCGATTTTTCCACTGTTGTGCAAACACATGCAAAGTTGAAAAAGCATACTGGCTGTCAGTCCAGATTGTAGCAATTTTCCCTTTCATAAATTTACAGGCTTCTGTTAGTACTACTAATTTAGCTGCTTGTGCTGAGTAATGGTTGGGAAGTTGTGTTGCTTTTAACACTTTTGTTTGAGTTACTACTGTGTAGCCTGTTGCGTTCATGCCATTTGGATTTTTTCTACTTGAGCCATCTACAAACAATACATGTGAGTTTGGAATTGGTTATATGTTTTCTTGGTAAATGTAAGGTTTCCCTTTCTACCACACAATCATGTGGTTTGCCTTCTTCCTCTGTAGGAAGTAGAGTTGCTGGGTTTAGCACCGTACACCGTTTTATGGTCACATGGGGTTGTGATAACAGTGTTGCCATACAGGAGTGATGCCGAGAAAGGAATGTCATCTTTGTTTGTAACAACAAAATGGAAACTGCAAGTGGTGATACATGGAGGTAAGGCCTGAGCCACTGAATCAAGTTTAGCTGAATAATATGCTATTGGTCTTTTACTTCCACCATAATCTTGAAGTAGCACTGATGTCATGAATTGTCCTCTGTAATCCACTGTCTGGGTAAAAGATTTCTTGTAATTTGGTAAGGCCAAGACTGTAGCTCTGGCCAAAACACGTTGTTTTTGAGGCCAATAAAATGTCATCTACATAGAACAAAATTTTACTTTTTTCAGGTGGTTCAAATTTTGCCATACAGCTTGATATGGCTGAATAGATGGTTGAGCTTTCTGCGTAACCTTGAGGTAGTCTTGTATAAGTGTAACACTTTCCCTCAAATGTGAATGCAAACCAAAATTTACTTTCTTTTGCAACTGGAATAGAGAACCACTACTGTGAAGAACTTTGCTTCAGGGTTTAGATCATTCAGCAGGGTATGTGGGTCGGGGACCACAGGTGCTCTCTGAATGACGGCATTGTTCACTGCCTGTAAGTCTTGTACCAATCTCCGTCCGTTAGATGGTGCTGCTTTCTTTACTGGAAAAATATGTGTGTTACATGGTGAATCATTGCATTCTATAAGTATTCCAGCTTTCAAGAATTACTGGCTTTATACCTTCTTGCGTCTGGTTTAATTGGATATTGTTTTACGCATGGTCTATATTCACTGTTTGGTTTTATTATCACTGGTTTGCATGTTGTTAATAGTCTTACATCCGCATTGCCTTGTGACCATAATGTTGTCGGTATTTCTGCTAAGAGGTTCTCTTCTTCTTTTGTCAGTAGAATTTGTCAGGACATTTTCTCTGTATCTCTTATGTGTGTTGCAATCATTGCTCTTGCCACCCAATTAAGTGGAATTTTCCACAAGTTCAGTGCAGGGCTGTAGTAGGTGTTATCTGTTTGCCATTCCCTATCAAGACGGTATGCAGCTGAGGTAGCTATCACGCCCAGTCGTTGCCATGACAATCCTTTTTGTTTTGCTAATGAAACGTGGGTCACCGTACTTGCTGCATGTAATCTCTCTGCTTCTTCTGAAACCTTGACAACAACAGCTATGCACTCTTTATCTGTTATTATGTCTTGAATTAGAATTTGTTGAGTTTTCAGTTTGTGCACCTTTTTATCAAAATCATCGTCTTGCCATGGAGTGTGCTTAAAATGCAACGTTACATGTAGTTTGTCGACTTGTTGGATTTGGTCTGGCATTTTTAACAAATCTGTTATTTTGCTAAGCAATGTTGTTGGGACACTCAAAGGCGGACCAGTGTTCAAATCTAATGACCAATAGTTTGGCGTGCCTGTTCCTTCCACAACCATAACATAAGTGTTTATTTTGTCTATTCTTTTCAAAGTCTTTCTACCAGTCTCAACGGGCACAATCGCTGGTGTAACTGTGGCATTGCATCTCTCCCTAATAAGTTTACTGGACAATTTGTTGCCAAAATAATTTGCACTCGGCATTTATTTCCATTTTCTGGATCTGTGAGAGTTACAGGATTAGTCAGTGGACTTTTTGTAGTCAGTCCATTTGCTGATTTAACAAAGATAAAATCTTTTGATTCTGTTGTGCCTTTTAATTTTTCACAGCACACAGTTCTACATGTTCCTGTGTCACATAAAAAGGGTTTTTTTTTTCGTTTATTATTAGTTCAACTTCTGGTTTACTTGGATCAAATAAGAGAATTACTATGTCTATGAATAAACTAATGTCTCAATTCCATCAACATGTTCTTCTGTTTGTTTTTTCTTTTCCTCTTGTCCTTTTAAATGCAATATTAATTCTCTGAAAAAATGCCCGCATTCTATCTTTTAATTCTGCACTTTCAGGTTGAAGTGGTGTCGGAGGATATCCTGTCATTGGATTCCAATCCCCTTTAACTCTAGCTGTCTTTACCTGTTACTGCCTGAAAAACCTGCTGGAACTTCAGCTCCATTCAGGCAGTAAGAATTAATTAACTGTTGCATATCTGCTCAACATTGCTCGGGGTCTTGCTTATATGATGCAATGTCTGCAGTTGCTTTTATCACATCATCTTTTGTCCAGGTTCTATATATTTTTATAGTGAGTGGTGCCTTTGGATCATTTGGATCTCGTGCGGGATCAGCCACTTGTATCATGGGAAAGGCGTCTGCAATGTTATCATAATTTGGTATTACTGGTGGAGATGGGCTTAAAACATGTGTTTTCTTTGATTGGTTTTAAATTTGGATACAAAGGTTGGTAGGGAGGGGAGGATTGAGAACGTGTCATACGTTCATTTGTATTTGCATTATCTGAAAGTGGAGTTGCTGTATCAGCACGTTATATCTCCTTTTATCTCAGCATCATCTAAAAGTGGAGACGTTTTATCAGCACACTCTCGGTTCTTGTGTACGTTTGACGCTATTGTTTCATTGTCCTCAGGTCAGTTATAGATAGTTTTGTTTTTGCTCACATTTGATTGTGGATTTTTGTTTTGACACATTGCTTCTGTTTTAGTTGTTTTAGTTCTATTCCATTTTTTCTTGCACAAGCTTGTTTAAGCCAACATTCAGCCGCACTCAGCCCAAGCTTCTCTTCTTTTTTTATATAATTGTTTGCCTCTTTTTTATGGCAAACACAAGGTGTTTGCAGTCTTCTTGGTTCAATTTACCCTCAAAACCATACTTTTTCTGCCAATTATTTAAATATGTACAAGACTCTGAATTGTACCTAAACATGTACTTAACATCCCCTTTAAACTCCGGAGTATTTGTCTTTTTGTTACATAAGTTCCCCATTTTGATTTCTTATTTTATTCAATTTTTTAGTTTTGAAATGTTTTATTTTATTTTACGCTGCGCAAAAAACCTAAAAAAAAAAAAAATCTTAATAGTTGGTTTTGTGATCTACTTCAACTGATCAGCAGTTGTACGTGTTTATACCGTAGGTTTCAGACTGCCCGCTGATTCGATCATGACAGTCACACACATTCACATTATCTTTTTTAGGCCTTTGGCATCTAGGGACTGCTGCCCAGGGACTCCAACCCTCTTAGTTCTAGGGTTTGCTGTCCAAGGATTTTCAACCCACGTAGTTCTAGGGATTACTGCCCAGGGTTTTGCAATCCACTTATCAGCATTTAGGGATTACAACCCATATTTCAACCACACGCTGGTAATAAAAAGTTGTTTCTCACCCTCGTCATCGATCGTATTCTGGTCTCAGATGCCATCAATCAGGCCTAGGATCAGGTGTCGGAGTACTGGCATGAGTGAGAATTCACTCCCCAGGTCTTTCCCCAGAACCTGGTTCTGGCCGTGCACGTTCTCCACCCGATCTTTAGGTTCTGCTTAATGTGTTGGCATCTGGCTCGAAGGACCAAGTTATGTCAGGATTATTCTAACATAAATGACGACAAAGTAACAACACAAAAGACGTCTGGATCTTTTTCTTGCAAGGGGAGAGTGCAGCTTATTCTTCTGGCAGCTTCCTCATCAACTCCGAGTTGCTGCACCCTTCCTCTGCTCTTTTATTTAGTTTACAAAAGTATCAGATTACATATCATTTGATTTTGTGTGAATATATGGGGTAAAAATGCTGGTAAAAAAATGGGGTAAAAGGCTGGATGTGAAAATGGGTGTGAATGGGGTTGTGTCAAGGAAAAGATGGGAAGCAACTTGCTTCCCATCTTTTCCTAAGCAGTTTCTTAAAGCGACAGAAACACATTGGAGTAAATATGGAAAGCAAGCAGTTTGTTAAAGTGATAGTACAGCATGAAGCAATGATAATAAATGCAATTCTTCCAACATCCATTCAATTTCAGAAAGTAATCATTGTTTCTGAATTAGTTAGTTAGTTAGTTTAACATTGAGAAGGAACATGCATGTTCTAAAGTTAAACAAAGTTTGATAAAAAAATTGATCACTGGTCTGATGACACATATTCTTGACACCTTGTCTCCCTTCAGGTCTCTACAGGACTTGTCCAGACAGACAGAGTTGCCTTATGGTACAGTATACGACTCTGCAGTTTATGATCAAGTCCATGCCAAGGCTCTGAACCCCTTTGAGAGAGACCCGATGTACGCCCAGATGTGGCGAATGATTAACCACACAGGAGGAGTGGACAATAACGTTGAGGAGTCCAGAGAAGGTATTCTGAAGGTAGGTCTGGGCTTTTTGATGAAGGGCCAGGTAATTCTAAACACATTTACTGTAGGTAATAACTCGACAGCATTTAACCTAGACATTTTCAATATTCAAAATCAATATTTATACATTTAAAAAAATCTGTGTATTACTGAAACAGAAAGACAAATGACAGCAGTTAGATTTGTGTTCTGGCGTGGCGACTGTTGAACAAGCACCAAAACACATTCCTCCCCAGTCAGTTTTAAAAGCACTTACGAGTCCCTGGGGATGGGTTGTATGCCGAGAAAAATCGCTGATGTGTGTATTTGTGTATGTTTATATAAAATAACAAATTCTTAATATTATTGATGTTGGCTTGTAAAAGGTGTCATGTTTTGCTTTCAAAACCTTTGTGAAGCTTTCCACCTACATAATATTAGCTAGTCTACAGCAGTGTTCCCCAACCTTTTTTGAGCCATGGCACATATTTAGCATCAGCAGCATGAAACCTGTGCCTGTTTAGTTAAACCCAACCTTAATTTACTCTCAGGAATTAAAATAAAACACGCACACAAGAAACAACTTCTTCAGCAGCTTCAAGTCTTTCTCTTATTTTAGTTTTTAACAGCCATCTGTTGCCACCTAGTGTAATATATTTTTGACCTACCACTATTGCATAGCATATCACATTATTTGCAGTAAAAAAAACAACAAAAAAAAAACAATGGTTTTCAGATTAATGAAGTGAAATTGGATAATATTCCACGGTACACTTCAAAATCAGAAGACTTCAAAGACAGAAGACTTCAAGGTGGAGGTGGGACTACATCAAGGATCGGCTCTGAGCCCCTTCTTGTTTGCTTTGGTAAAGGACAGATTGCCAAATGAAGTCAGACAGGAGTCCCCATGGACTGTTTTTTGCAGATGACATTGTGATTTGTAGTGAGAGTAGGCAGCAGCTAGAAGATAACCTAGAGTGGTGGAGGTTTGCACTACAAAGATGAGGAATGAAGGTCAGTCGCAGCAAAACAGAGTATGTGTGTCAACAAAAGGCAGAACAGGTTACAAGGAGCAGAGGTGGTGAAGGTGTAGGTACTTAGGATCAACTGTTCAAAGCAGAGGAGACTGTGGAAGAGAGGTGAAGAATAGAGTACAGGCAGGATGGAACAGCTGGAGAAAAGTGTCAGGAGTGATCTGTGATAGAAGAGTGTCAGCTAAGGTAAAGGGAAAGGTTTACAGGACAGTGGTGAGACCAGCCATGATGTATGGTTTAGAGACGGTAGCAATAGGCAGAAGACAGGAGGGGGAGCTGAAGGTGGCAGAGTTATAGATGCTAAGATTATCTCTAGGAGTGACAAGAATGGACAGGATCAGGAATGAGGTCATTAGAGGGACAACACAGACAGGAAGGTTTGGAGAAAAACCTAGAGAAGCCAGATTGAGATGGTTTGGACAGAAAACACACCTCACACATATATTTATTTATCTGATTGACCTTATCCTGCATATATTATACAGATAATGACAATTATTAGACTGCAGCAGGGCTGTGTGTACCACATAGGATACAAATACTAGTACAAAATGATCAGTTTACAGCCTGGCAAATAGAATATTAAAGTAGCTAGTGCAGGTAAATGTTCCAGAATTCTCCCCAAAGTCCTATTAAAAACAATTATACCAAACAAGATTTAAATAATTAAGTATCAGTTACAATGCCATAAAGGGAAGTATGATAGAAAGTGTGATAAAGTTTAATTACATTAAAACTCTATATAAAGCACTGACGGTGAAAATGGGGCAAATGGTAAGAGTTTAAAACAACAAATCAAACTGATAAAATTGTATTTAAAACTATAGACATGGAATCCCTCAGTGTATGAAAACAATAGGATGAAGCCCATTTGACATTAATGTTTTTACTCACAAATCAGAAATCCTATAAAGGTTTAAAAAGTCACTATAAATCACAGCTCCAGTTACCTGTATGATGAACATTCTGGAGTCAGCAGCTGCCCCCAAAGAGCAGGTTCAGCTGTTTTCTACTGGACTGGTGCAGATTAAATCTGCATCCATTTAACACAGGGATGCCAGACCATTTGAAAGCAAGTAATCAAATCCCAGGCCGATAAGATTATACACAAATAGGACAAGAACGGAGTCCTCTGAACATGAACAAGTAGTGTTGAGGGGAGTGGGATAGATACAAGTTTAATCCGTTCCACAATAGCACTTATGTCGATCCACTTGTACTGTATGTAGATTGCATTTTCCCCATTAAAAATAACTAAAAACCAATTGTTTCGTTCCAGCCCCCAGATATATAATACTAATTAATTAAATCATAATATATATAAACATCATAATCATAATATATATAATAATCTAAACATCAAATACATAGATATAAACAAATATATTGATAATATAAAAAATAATACTTAAAAAAAACATTTTATATTATTGTTATAAAAATGGGTAAAATAACCGAGTGTGGGACAGTGAGCAAGACTGCAATCATGATTAATCACAGAAGAATCACAGTCATGACCAACACAGGTTCAGAATAATCTTCACAAATTAACACGATTAATGCATGGATTCTGTCTGCCCTAGTTTTAAAATATTTTAGTTTTGAAAACCATACATGTTTTTAAATTTTCTAAGAACATTTTTACATTTGTTGTACAATGGTTTAGTAAAAAGGCCATTAAAAACAGCAAATTAGATACAATAGGAAACATTATATTTTCACATTGGGATTTGAAAGTATAAAATTAGTATAACTCTGTGTTAGGCACCATTGATCAGTCAAACAATAATGCTGCTGTGGCTTTAATGTATATAAATGTGTTGCTGCTGCAATTTGCACTGCTATGTATTAGGATGACACAATCCTAATGGGAAGACCAGACTAAATGCTATGTGACCACGAAGTCAATTCACATGGCTGCGCTTCAGTAGCTGCAGGGACAGACACAGCATAAAGAACTGGTTATAGACACGGCAGATTTGGTTTCTCCGGGGCCAAAAATCTCAACACTTGCAGCAACAAGAGAACAAATAGCGGAGGAGGAAGGAAACTGTCCCTCTTGACACTATTTTTCTCTTTTTTTATTTTTTGTCTTTCTTACTTTGGTGTTTATCTGCTCACTGTCTGATTCCACAATCCATGTGTCATTTATTTTGAAGATTTCT